GTATGATGTGGTTCGAGATACTTCACTATTTTTAATCTTGTATGAAAAAGTAGAAATCGAGGTTTTCCGGGAAACCGACATTATTTTACATTTTGAAGTGTTCAAGCTCACTAACCACTTATTACACCAACTGCAAACGAGGTCTAGGTCACCTTGAAAGGCCTCATGATCAGAGGGAGATGTTATGGTTCGATAAATGACACAGTCGTCTGCAAACAGGCGTATACGGGATGAAATGTTAGTTGGCAGATCGTTGATGAATATTAAAAAGAGTAGAGGGCCAAGGACCCTATCCTGCAGCACTCCTAAAGTGACTTCTGCGATATCTGAATGAGAATAATTTGCAAATGTGAGCTGTTCATGAAATGAAAGAAAATTTCGAAGCCATGATAGCGTTAAGGAGTCCAATTTAAGAGAAGACAGTTTGGAAATCAGACCACAATGGGCGACACGGTCAAAGGCCTTCGAAAAATCGAGGAAAGCGCAATCCGTCTGTGTGTTCATGTCCAAGTTAGTCTGTAGATCTGTCGTGAATTCAAGTAGTTGTGTATCGCAAGAGAAACCTTTCCTAAAGCCATGTTGGGTGGAACTAAAGAAATTGTTTGATTCAAAATGACTGTAAATGTGAGAAGCAATGATATGTTTAAGTAATTTACAGCTGATAAAGGTTAACGAGATGGGACGATAATTTTCAACCTGATCTTTACATCCTGCTTTAAATATGGGAATAACTTTTGCGACTTTCCAGTCCCTAGGAAGCTGACCGGTACACAAAGACTGTCTGAAAATGTGAAATAATATTTGAGAGGACATGGAAATTGTATTTTTTAGTATCTTTGGATTGATATTATCTAGACCACTAGAAGTAGAAACTTTGAGGTTGTTGATTAGTTTAGTGATGCCCTCAATGTTAATATCTACGGGTGCCATGAAAGGGTAATCAAGTTCCGGAAACTCAGGAATGCTAGAATGATCTTCCCGTGTGAAAACAGAAGAAAAAAAATGTGTTGAATGCAATTGCACACTGGTCTCTTGGGAGAGGTAATTGATTTTTGCCTTTCAAAGTAATATCTGTCACGGCAGAAGCAGGTGATAATTGTTGCCAAAATTTTCTGGGATTGCATTTTAATAATGATGATAGGTCATGTTTAAATTTAAAGTACCTACTTGTCTTTAGCAGTGAGTAACGCACAAGTATAACTTTTAAGACACTCGTTATATAAATTCCAAGCAGAGACACTACAAGCGTGCATCGCGGTCCTATACAGCCATTTTTTTCGATTTCTCAAAGTTCACAAATATTTGTTAAACCATGAGTTTCTCTTATCATTAGATATGGCAATTTCAGGAACATATTTGTCGACTAATAAAGTAATCTCCTCTCTAAACAATGACCAATTTTCATCGACGTTACGACTTGACAATGAGGGCAAGAATGTGCTGTGATAGAATTCTTCCAAGTCAGAATTCATACAACTATAATTGGCCTTAATCTATTGGTCTCTAATCACTTTTGTAGTTTTACCCATAACTTTGAGAGGAATGTTTATTGATAATTGAACGAGCTTATGGTCACTAAACCCTTCAAGGCAAGAGATTTCACCTACATTATCAGGATCTGAGGTAAGTAATACAAAATATTATTGCCCCATGTTGGCTGGCTGATTATTTGAGCGAAATTTTAAAACATCATAAAATAAAGGCATGCACCAAGTGGTTGAAGTCTGCACTAAGGACAGAGTATCGCTATCGTGTCCATATCTTAAAGGCAAAGCGTAAGGGTCCCCGAATTATTTGACTAAGTAAATAAGTGTGTTTCACTTTAGCTCGCGTAACTGCAACAGTGCGAACACTGACATTGCTGTATCACAAGAAACTACTTTCAAGATAAAGTTCGTCAACAAGCTTGATTTGCGAAGCACGTACCCCTTGAAACATCATTTTTGTTTTTCTTTTTGTGTGAGCCCGTCGCTGATTATTGGTGTACGATTGTCGATTGGCGCGACTACTAATTGGTTTCTGTGTTAATTTTTTATTGCACAATTGTGAACCGACCCTACTGCTGTGCGTATTGCACTTCTTTATGGTGGTCCAACCTTGTTTTAGAGGCGAAGCAACTTAGTGTTGCACAATGTACGAATATTATTGTCGCGGCGCACCTCGTCATGGCCCCCAGTTGAAGTAAAACATCTGTGGAGACAGCACCGTCTACAGAGCGTGCATAGCGCGTATACGGAAAAAAAGAATAAAAGGCCACAACATCATAAAAAAAACGACATTTAACCACCCATCATTCAGAGCATATGACACAACAAAAGGTTAACAAGAATAGTAGAATAAAAGGCTCTTAAAGGTCCCGTAAACCACCTCCGACATTTTTGCAAACGTTTCAAGTAAATACGCGCATCGTGTACAGAATGTTGTCACCATCAACCATTCTACACGTGGCAGAGCTACGAGCCGCCGGCACGTCACAAATTCCAAGAAACAATATCTCCATATTTCCAGGCCTTCCGTGCCTCCGCCACGACGCGCCGTTTCAATATTTCTGACGTGCCAATTTAAATATGCTGTGACTGGTCGAGCAAAAGCCTACGACTTCCAGTGAGTCTGCAAGCAGCTGTCCCCGCTGCTTGTAGTTTGGGGCATTGCCAATGTGCATGCGCCCGCTCACGAATCAGCTGCAGAGGTCGTCTGGCGTGTCCCCGTACGGGTACATCGTGCTGGCGATCCTTTGAAGGCATGCGCGCAGCGCAGGGTCCATACTGGCACAATTCAAATACTCCGCCAGATCAGCCTATAGGTGGCAGCACCGCCCCGCGAAAGTGTGGATAGGCGGTAGGCGACACGTATAAAAATACACGCAGCAGTGCTTCATTGTGTGCAGTCTGAGCCGATTGTCGGCAGATAAAATGCGTTGACAACAATTTACTATTAATATCTATGCTCATCTCTACTGAATCGGTGGCATGACTCCTATGCAATGTTAACATTACTCGCGAGTTAAGCGCATTCTGCCTTTCATAGGAATGCTAACCCTTGGTTGTTTATCTTCAAGCTTTCCCATTAAATCACGCCTTTGCTGTGTTGTTTGTCCGTGGTTAGCTAGTGTACCGCCTGCTACACGCTGCTGTAGTGTGACTGAACTACTTATTTACATCTTTGTCATCCACATACTACAAAAAAGAGAGAAAGGAAGATCTTAGAAAGCCCGCAAATCTGTGCGATTCGTTCAGTACCACTGTTCGCACCTTATGCACGTATGATTTTTTTTTTCTCAATCTGTTCACCATGAAATGTGGGACGGTCGATAAATCTAATCAGAAAAGCTTAGTGGCTGACGGTGCTTTGAACTACACTGCATTTACCACATGTACGCACATGTTGGCGCACCAGTAAATATCTTATATTTATATAAGAGTTCAGCAGAAAGCTTTCATCGATGAATTACGTGCATGAGGGTGTTACAACGAAGGCCTGGTTAGTGGGACAAACAGGTGAAAATTACCACTGCTTTCCGTCGGTCAATAACAATGCCACATAAAGGCTGAAAACAAAGTGAAAAAGATGAAATGTTCAGTGACATTATACGACATTATATATAGGGCATGCCATCTGAATTAATTTTCAACGTCTGGGCTTTTTAAAGCGTTTTTAAATCTTACCGTGCCAGTTGTGCACGATAACTTTGTTTTAAGTACAGTGTAAGTTCCGTAGTCTCACAGTTTATGTGATAGTAATATTTCGATGTAGTGGTACCACGGCCAGATAAAAACAACTAAGGCTCCTCGCATGATCGATAAACTACAGTGCCGTAGTTGTACACCTGCCAACAGCGCGCAAGTGCATGACCTAAAGCTTGTCTCTTTTTTTATTACAACCAAGTCGCTATAAAATGCTGCATTCACCCAGAATTTAGTAGTCCTCGTGTTTAGAAGAATGCCAAGAGCATTTTGCGATGTGCTAGAAATAGAAACCAGCACCCACACCGAAATTATTCTGGTGAATGGAGGGTACGATGACAATAAACAGCACTTTAGAAAGTTGCACTCCCCGATTTTATTAATAAGCATTAGCAGCCGAGAAAGACCAAGTGCTTTCGTACGTCATTTCAGGCATACGTAAAAACAGTTACACTCGCGCTGACATGACCAGACAAACCACACTTTGAGAATGTGCATGACGTACACACACACAGAAACACAACGTGGCTAGCAGACGATGCAAGAAGCAATCCATAATTCACCATTTCAGCCAGTTGCCGCCAGACGCCGACTCTGCTCTATCTCACGGGGCCAATAGACACGGCAGCCGCGGTTCCCCAACAAGCACGCGGCTACAACGCAGCTGACAGTGCCGACAGATGGAGCCGCGCAAAGCAGTAGACAGTGTTTTAAAAAGTGCGTCAGCGATGACGTACGTCACGTGAGATTTGGATGGACATGGGATGCGAGCGCTCGACAAGAGGGTAAATAGGGACAGGATATTATGGAGGGTAGTGCAGGATAAAAGAAAAAAAGGTGGCGTTACGGTTTTGATAGTGCAGCACTTCCAACTCCGCTATTATGATACCATTTCGAAAAATTCTCATGGCTCCATGTTCGTTGTACACTAGTACGCCATTTCCCCACAACAACTGAGTTTCCACTTTTGGGTGGTTTACGGACCCTTTAACCAGAACAAAACAGAAGGCCACAACACCATAAAAAAGAGGCAAAGCGGCACCGCCAACATGTGAACAAACCGAAACATCTGTGAACCGAAATGCTTTATTTTTCTATCTACAAGGCCGCCGGTGACTTCACTCTGTCCTGTAGGTAGCAGCACATAGAGCCACCACAGAAGCTCTATCCGAACACTCATGAAATTTACAGTATCTCTGCGGGCAAATCCTAAACTGCACTGTTTTTCGGGCAATGAAACAGAGGCCTGTGTGATCCCAGTGTGCAAAAACAATAAGACGGGTTCTGAGTTTTATTCTATTGTGTACCACCACCTACCTGAGGGTGTCAGTTGAACTCCTTGTATGCAAGTCATCTCGTGCGCCGGTCTCTCCTCAATGGGTATCTCCCTGCCAGTTGAGAGGCTGCGGTCCACGGTGGTGGTGGGCGAGGCCACGTAGAATGGCACACCGTGATGCTTGGCACAGATGGCCAGCTGATAGGTGCCTGCGAAAGAAGAGCTCACCTCAAAGGAAACGCATAGCACAATTATGACATTAAAGGTACTAAAGCATCTCTGAGTGCTTGAGATGCCAGGCCACATTCATATTGTTCACCCAGCGCCACAGCACTTTCTGGAGTTCTGCGATGTGGCACTATAGCTTCTGACACAGCTCTCTGCTGGCTCTGCGACAAAAACTTGGCGCGCTAGTCTAAACACCCTCCCAGGCTTGCGAAAAACTAACTCCTTTGGTCACTTACACAGACATTCTACAGCACTACAGACTAGGCTGTCTCTGCTATCCTCCAGCTCACAAAGACCTCCCTCGACGAGACCCCATCCTGTGGCACAAGTTTCAGACAGGTGTCTTTCTCAACTCCTGGCTTTATAGCAAGGTATACCCACACCTCGTGACACCACACTGTAAATACTGCTCACAATCGGCCACCCTCATACACATGGCAATGACGTGCCCACAATACGCTGATGCTTCTCACACAGAAGGTACATGGGAGTCCCTTCTGCATATCACTGACTTGACACAGCAACGCCGAGTAATATCAGGTGCATTTGAGGCCGCGGTGTCCCAAGAGATCCCTGCTGACCTCCTCTAAGCAGCGTAACCGACCTATCGGCCGGTCCTCTCTTTTGAGAGTAATAGTTTCGATCATCATCATCAGTCTAAACAGGTTTCAGTGCTTAACTGTTGGTTTGGCAGAGCTTTCAAAACAAAATGGGACAGCAAATGATAAAACACAACAATACCATGATGTTTATTCACTACAGCAAAATTACGGGCTATTAATTTATCCTATAACAGCTGAGGCACATTGAGGGTAATGCACTATCATAGAATCTTAGCAGTATTGAAGAGATTATAAACTGCATTAAAATCAATGCAAATTAATGACAACCATGAATTTGTTCAGATATTGATAAAATTATTATCATTATATTAAAAAAAATAATGGCATATCCACAGACAAAATGGTGATGAGTGGGGCAAACCATCTGTCAAGCCCTCCGCGCTTCCATTTGTCCTTTTGTTCTTGCTTCCATTTGTCCGTGCGTCTGTCAATGCAACTGTACGTGCACCCGTCCTTCCATGCGTACGTGTGTCTATTCGTGCTCCCGTTTGTCCGTCCGTGCCTCCACCCCTGTGTTCGTCCATGCAGTCCGTTCATTCATCTGTGTATCCGTTCATCCGCCCTTCCATCCGTGTGCCTGTCCATCTGCTTGTCTGTCTGTCTGTCCGTCTGTCTATCTAGTGAACACTACAAGTACCGCCACCTCGCATTTGTTTATAACATCTGCATTGGTTTATTCCATTAACAACTATCACCTGGCCGTGAATCCCGGAACAAGGTGGCTGCATACTACATACATAGGAGATGACCGACCCAAGCGTTAAGGAGCTTTGCCTCTAAAAAGAATATGTGAATAAGAATGACAGTGTGAAGAATGATGATTGTAGAAGTGTAAAGAGGTCAATTGGGTGAGCTTAAGGAACAGGCAAAATATTGGAGACAGCCACAGGACGAGGAAGATAATGGTGCAGCTGGTGCTCAAGCGGCGATCTCGCGGTGCCTTCCTTTCGTGATGATGCTTTTTCATCCCTGTTGTTGTTGTTTTCATTCCTTCATTATAATTGCTGCCGTCAAAAAAAATTAAGTTATCCTGACGATATAATCCTACTGATGTGATGATTTCGACGGATGAAACGCAAAATCTTCAGATGGCCGGAGTAGGCATTTTTTTTTAATCAGCTTAATTGGTCTTTTGCGCTCGCTTTTACTGCCTAACTTCACGCCAATTTATCTTGCAGAATTCCTGGAAACTACAATGGCACTTTGGAAACTTATTTCTGAGCAATCAAAGGCTATTAGTGTCTTGTCTTCTCTCTCCTACCACGTAGCCTATCAGAAGTTCAGTTTCTTCAGGTCCCCGGGCATGCTGGAAATAAATTAAATGAAACGGCTGACTCGCTTGCTTCGCCGTCTTTAAATATCGCGGTGGTACTAGTAGCTACACAGTTTTCTTTTATTACCGCAGAACAATTAAAATGCCTGTTAGTCTTAAAAAACAACAAAACATCACTCCTACCATCATAAAAGTTTCAGCACTTGTTCACACGGAACACCGCAAAATGCTTTTCCCGTCAATGTGAGGTGACCCTAACAAGCTTTCGCTGTAGAGTTCCTGGATTAAATTATCATCTTCATAAATCAAGATTTTCATTGACTAACCCATGTGCAGTTCGCAACGAACCAGAAAGAATAGATTACTTACTTCTCACATGCCGCTGTTCCGCCTGACTCTGCCGAATAATTCTTGAGAGACTGATTGGTATACTGGGATTGGCATTTATTATATATCCACCCTTTTATTGTTTGGAGCCAGTCAGTCAGGTGTGGGCCGTCATGTTCTTCTGGCAGCGCTACATTAATTCATTCAGACAACTGGAAGGATATGCTGCTAGTGGTACCGCCATAGAAATTCAATTTTTTGTCCCCCTTATTTTTTTGCTATATTTTTAAATATGGTTATTTGATTCTTTTGACCCTTCTCACTTTCTTCTTTTTAAGGTTCGTTATCATTCATCTTGTTCTTATCTGATTGGTCTCTCTTTTAACAAGCATTCTATAAATATTTACGTTATAAGGCACAGTGTGGTCAATCCCCCTAGTAAGTATGAGCCAAGACCTTATAGGCGACAAAACAAAAGAAAACTAATCCCCCACAGTGATATGAGCGACAAGAAAAGGTCAACAAGAACAGGTGGGAACGAGCAGGTCAAAGTAAGGCTTTAAGCGGTCTACAAGAACATTATCGTGTCCATGCCGACCATGGTCACTGAGCGGCGCAACTTGTTCAATGACATAACTGATGGGTGATGTGCGCTCTACCCCGCGGTATGGACCATGGTAATTTGAAACTAGGTTGGTAGACAAACAATGAGCACAAGATGGTACATGCAGCCGTACAAGGGTTCCAGGAGAAAACTTTCGCGTCAGGAGGATGGTCATCATCGCGGGCTTCTTTCTTGCATTGCTGAACGGCCATATTAAACTGCTTCGCTAGTTGGCAGCATTCCTCAGCGAAACAGGCGGCTTCGAACACGATCGTGTACTCGGATGCATCTGGTGCGCATGGCAGCAAAGTGTCGATTGCGTGCAATGGTAGGCAACCGTAGAGAAAGAAGACTGGGGAAAAGCCGGTGGTGACTTGGGTAGCAGTGTTACACGCGTGGGTCGCATACAGAAGAGTCAGGTCCCAGTTCGTACGGTCAGGTCCAACATGCATAGCAAGCATGTCATCCAGAGTCTGATGGAACCACTCAGTAAAGCCATTCGGCTGAGGATGGTAAGCAGTACTTATGTACAATATGGTGTACAATACAGTGTACAATATGGTGAAGTGCTTATATTACATTGGATAGAAAGAAGTACATGGCTCTGGTCGCTGAAGGGTTCATGAGGAGGGCCATGACGTAGCACGAAACGGTTGAAGATGAAACCTGCGGCACCCCAAACAATCGCCGTAAGAAGAGCAGCGGTTTTGGCGTACTGTGTCAGGTGATGCACAGCAACGATAGCCCACCTGCCATGGTCAATGGCTGTGGTCCATCAAGCACAATTCCAACGTGATCGAATGGGCAGTCGGGGCACGCATGCGGCTGTAGTGAAGCTGCTCCGGGATGCAGCAGCTTTTATTGTAATCGTAATTATATGGACACTCTCGGCTGAATCTTGCCGCTGGCGTCAGCGTCGTCATAACGCGCTGTATATGTGTACGTATCTATATATATATGAGGCAGTTTTTTTTCTAAATCAGCCAAAAGCACTTTAAATAAAACTGGAAAAAAAAACTCACTTTTTGTTCTACTGTTAATATGGTTGGGCCTGATTAAACAACTTTTTGCCGGTGTGTTCATTTTCCTTAAGTATTACAAATCTATAATGTGGCTAAAATATGCATAGTCAAATATCCTCAGTATTGTGGAGTAAAGTTTGTATTTGGCTCATGTATATTGAAACATTTCATTCGGACATGATTTGGCTTGTAAAATAAGTCTAAAACAGTTGAAATGAATGGTATAGCAATATTTCGCGATAATTGATTGATATGTGGGGTTTAACGTCCCAAAACCACTATATGATTATGAGAGACGCCGTAGTGGAGGGCTCCGGAAATTTAGACCACCTGGGGTTCTCTAACGTGCACCCAAATCTAAGCACACGGGCCTACAACATTTCCGCCTCCATCGGAAATGCAGCCGCCGCAGCCGGGATTCGAACCCGCGCCCTGCAGGTCAGCAGCCGAGTACCTTAGCCACTAGACCACCGCGGTGGGGCAATATTTCGCGATAGAATTATCATATTTGCGCTTCCGTTGCTGCCATGCTTGGAGACATTGGCGTAATGGCAATTACTAGATTTGAAGAGCGAGTGGTCCTTCCTGGAAAAAGGGGCACTATTCTGGACTGTAATCAGTGTTTTCTTTTTCCTGGCATCTATTGAAAGCCTTGAAAAGTGTTCCAGTTACTTTTATGTCATGCGATTTCTGACCACTTCTTCTTCATTAGGGAATAAATAGATAGACACCCAACATCTTTCTATTCCCCATGCGTATTTTATTTCAAATATACCATGTTGGAGCGAAGGGAGGACAAAATACTGTTGCACTGAGGTCGAAAAGAATCACTAAGATGCAAAAAGAAGTAGGCAAGTCAACCTCTTACTCTTTACAATCGAGTTTTATCATTGAACACCATGTCCTTCAGTAAGTGCTAACTCGGACTAGAAAACCTAATTGTGGAACGTAAACACAATATCAGAGCAACTAAGACACAAATGAAACATTTTGGGTGAGATCATGTTGGTTGTTCTTAGCTTAGTGCTACTTTAATGAATTTGGCTCACTTTGATTGAAACAGAGTACCTGGTTCATTTTTTATTAGGAACTGCCTTTTTGAGCTCATGTTACAATAAGGAACTGCCCCATT